GCCCAGCAGGACGGCGTCCAGCGTCTGCCGATTGTACCGAGGCTCCGACGCCGAGGTGTTCTGTGCATCAGGCGTGTACTTGACGCCTGCAGCCGCGGGCTTCCTCTGAACCGGCTTTTTCTGGGCGGCGCGCTTGGTCAGGCGCAGGGTTCCCCTCTTGGGCTTGCGCTGGTTCATGCAGGTCTTGGCCATGGGGCTCGCCTACGCCGCGCCTCCGCTAGTATATTGGGTTCGGACTAGATCCCAGCCTTGCGGGGCCTGCAAGGAGCCAAAATGGCTACGGCAACGACGGAGCGGGCTGCGGCGCGCCCCCACCACGAACAGCGCAATGCATCCTCAGAGAAACTGATGCTCTGCAGTAGGAGAAGATGGATGCTAACGGCTTTGGGCCATGGCTGGCTAAAGGCTGGAGGACGCCCGACAGGGCGGCCCTGCTCGCGCGCGGACTCACACCACGACGCTCATGCGGCGGCACAAGAACTCAACCCAAGCCTCCTCGGTGACACCGTCCAAGAACTCATCCAGGCCGACAACGGGATTGTCGTCGATGCCTTCAGGGGCACCGCCATGGCCCGCGAAATCACCATCGATGTCGAAGTCCTCCACGAAGTCGCTCTCGAAGCTGCAATTCGTGATGTCGTCCGCGGCGTCGCCTTCTGACGGCACCAGCGTGGCCTCGCCGTCGGACTCGGGGTCAAGGATCAAGATCTCGCTGGCGCCGTCGTCGTGCTCGGAGTCGCTGTCGGCCATGAGCTGCTCCACCCGCGTCGCCCGCCACGCGCCGCGGGGCTGCGGAATGGCCAACATCTGGTCAAGGTCGGCCACGGCGGTCCGCATGAGGCATCCGTGGCAAATGCGCTGCGACTGAGCGGGGAAGCCGATGGCAGGCACCCGCCCGCACGCGATGCAGGCCATGGTACTGGCCCTGTTCACGGAGAGACTGGCCTTGCCCCAAGCGGTGGAAGGCGCGAGAGCCGCTTGAACCAAAACGGCTACCACGGGAGAGTCGCGACCGACTGGCTGGACGACGTGTCTGAGCGCGCTGCAAGAGCGAATCCTGCTACCAACCGCAGCCAGATTCCTCTGCTACGCCCGCTCGCAGCAACTCTCCGGGTGGCTACAAAGCAATGCTGGGGTGAGTATGTGAAAGAAGGGCGCATTGTTTTCCTGTCGCGCTCGCCCCACTCGCGCGCGATCTGATGCCGATGCGGGAACCCAGGGAAAGTGCTGCAACATGCATATACTGGGGCGGCACCCCCAACTCCTCGGGGACACAACGGCGCACGCAACCTCGGCTGCGTGCGGCGACGCGTCCAGCGAACGCCGCTAATTAGGCCTCAGCCCGCGCCGCCACCGCCGCTGCTGCTCGACGGGCCGCGGCGGCGGCCTCAGTCCTCGTCCGAGTCGATCGCCACGACGCCTGTTGAGGGCGCAGAAGCAAGGCGGCCGAATGGAGGCGTGCAAAGGAACCGCCCGTTACAATTTGCCCGAAGGGCCAACCGTGCTCGCGACCCAACGGGGCGCAACTCAATCACCCGCTGGTCGACAAACGGGCGGTCCCTTTGACGCCTCGCCTCGCGAACGCCGCCCGACTTCTGCCCTCCCCGAGCCTGGAAAGAGCTCCTGCATCGTCGCACTGTCCACGGGCGTCGCCGAGAACACCTCCTTCTTGGCAACCTGCTCGGTCGAGCCCGCCGCCCTGCAGGGGCCCTCGGGGCCCCGCTTGATCGGTCCGCGAGGCGCCCGCTCCCGATTGGCACTGCGCTCCTCCTTCTTGGCGGGCGCCACCTTCTTCATGGCGTCGAACCCATCATTGATGGCGCCCTTCTTCAAGGCGTTAGACTCCTTGAGCGAGATCGCGCCAGCCTGGTGGAGCTTCCAGAGCCGCTCGATCTCCTGTGCGGGGGTCCCGCGCGGTGGCTCTTCCTCGTCCTCGTAGTCGTCGCGGTCGCCCCCGATGCGATCGCACTTGAAGCCGTCCGCGAAAGGCTCGGGGGGCACCGCGCGGGGCCCCTGGGTGTCAGGCTTCGCCCGCTTGGCTGGGGGGGCCTCCTCTGGCGCGGCTGGGGCTGACATCGGGGCCGCGGGCACGGCGCCCTCTGGCGCTGCTGGGGCTGGCATCGCGGCCGCGGGCACGCCGCCCCCTGGCGCGGCTGCTGCGCTGCCCCAGATGTTCCCCAAGCTCAACTTGCCGAACCGCTGGGGCTCGGCGGCCGCGGTAACGCCCTCCGCGCCCGAGTCGTCGACCCCCTGCGGGACTTCGTCGTCCTCCAGGAGCTGTGCCAGCCAGTTCTGCTCCCACATCACGTCCTGGTCGTAATATGTCCCGAACTGGCGGTGGCCATCTTTCCACAAGCCAATGCGGCGCCTGCCGTCCATGTTGATGAAGTTCGACTCGTCCAACACAAAGCACGGAACGGGCTCAGTGCCCTCGGAGGCGATGCGGTGGAGGACGTAGACCTTGCCGTCGGCGTGCGTGAAGTTGAGGGTCAAGTGCGATCGCTTCAGACACGCCATGAGGTTGGCTAGAGTCGTCCCTGGGGGGAAGGTTGTCGACACGGCGGCCAGAAAGTCCTCGTGAGATATCGACGGGAAGCTGCCGATGGTCGGGCGGAGCGTGGCTGGGTTGAACGCGTTGTCCACGATCAAGCGAGGCTGCCCCTGCACGCATTTTGTGGCCCCCCAGCGGGCCCAGATCATCGACTCGTCATCCCCGACGTCCGTGAAGGACTTGATGGCCCGAACGCGCTGCTCGTTCAGCGCCCCGTCGTCGTACACCCAAGCACAGCTCTTCTCCCCTGGCTGGCCGCTCAAGAAGTCGAACTCCGCCGTGCTCTTCAGCATGGCCGCGCGCTCGCCGCCGATCTTGCGCGCCCACCGCCTGGCGAGGGCCAGGGCGACTGGGCGACCCACGAAAGTCTTTCCGATCCCAGGCTCGCCAATCATCATGAGAGCATGCTTGCCCATCGTCTTGATCATGGGCTTGAGGATGCCGACCAGGAAGGAGCGCTTGATGTTGCGCAGCGTGACGGGGCAGACAAGATGCTCTTGGCACAGCACCGCCTCGTTTGCGATGCCCCTCATGATCTCTTTCGCAAGCGACTCCTTCCACCCGAAAATGAGGCTGGCCTCGTTGCTCAGCTCCTTGGTGATCCACCGAAGGTGGCTCTTGTTCTGGATCAGACGGGCATGCTCCTCGATGTAATCGAACCCCTGATCGATTTTCGACTCGTCCATGAGTTCTTTCTGACTGTTGAGGTCGCCGTGGCCGAACGTGAAGAACCTTATCTTCAGGCCAGGGAGGTGCATGAGCAGGTGCTGCGGCGCCTTCGTCCCTGACTTCTCATGGATGCCCCGCGCGATCTTATGCGTCTGACCAACGCAAATGCTCGGGCGGCTGTGGATGTTGACCTTGTTCTTCATGATGTAGTGTTTGATGATGTACCTCCCGCCGTCGGCGGCGCCGCAGGGGGGAGGGCGGGCGCGCGCAAAGGCGCAGCGAGCCAGGCGGCGCTAGGGCGGCTCGTCCCTTGAGCCACAACTCGAGCAAACCGCGCCAGATGAGAACAATGCGTTGTTACCAAAATGTTGCGGGGCATCCTCTGGGAAGGAAACCAAGTTCTCGCGACGGAGGGACATCGCCATTGAGCTTGCAGTTTTTTTTTTTTTTTTTTTTTTTTTTTTTTTTTTTTTTTTTTTTTTTTTTTTTTTTTTTTTTTTTTTTTTTTTTTTTTTTTTTTTATCAACTACGTATGAAACAAACATGTCTGCATCGTTCCTGGGCCTCTGGCGGTGCACGCACGCGGGCGGGTTGCGAAACTGGTCGCTTCACCGAAGGAGACCAAGGTCTCGTGGCGGGGGGGCATCACCATTGAGCTCACGAGTTTTTTTTGTTTTTTCACCAACTACGTATGACACCAACATGCCTGCATCGTTTCTGTGCCTCTGGCGGTGCACGCGCGCGGGCGGGTTGCGAAACTGGTCGCTTCACCGAAGAAAGCCAAGTTCTCGCGACGGAGGGACATCGCCATTGAGCTTACAGTTTTTTTTTTATATTATATATATATATCACCTACGTATGCAACAAACATGTCTGCATCGTTTCTGGGCCTCTGGCGGTGCACGCGCGCGGGCGGGTTGCGAAACTGGTCGCTTTACCGAAGGAGACCAAGGTCTCGCGACGAAGGGACATCACCATTGAGCTTACGAGGTTTATATATATATATATATAAAACTACGTATGGCACCAACATGTCTGCATCGTTTCTGTGCCTCTGGCGGTGCACGCGCGCGGGCGGGTTGCGAAACTGGTCGCTTTACCGAAGGAAACCAAGGTCTCGTGGCGGAGGGACATCGCCATTGAGCTCGCGCGGTGTTTTTTTTTATCAACTACGTATGACACAAGCATGTCTGCGCCGTTTCTGGGCTTCTGGCGGCGCACACACGCGGGCGGGTTGCGAAACTCGTCGTTCTACCGAAGGAGACCAAGGTATCGTGACGGAGGGACGTCACCATGGAGCTCACAGTTTATATACATATACATATGTATATATATATATATATATATATATATCAACTACGCATGACACCAACATGTCTGCGTCGTTTTTGGGCCTCTGGCGGTGCACGCACGCGGGCGGGTTGCGAAACTGGTCGTTTTACAGAAGGAAGCAATGGTCTCGTGACGGAGGGACATCACCATTGAGCTCGCGGTTTTTTTTTCTTTTCAACTACGTATGACACAAACGCGGCTGCTTTATTGAGCTCCTGGCTGAAGACACGAAATCAAAATGTCCATGTCTATTCACAGCATGGTTCGCCATGCGCAAACGCAATGGAAAATAATACATCGCGAACGGGGCGGGCGAGGGAGGGAGGGAGGGAGAGGGATCGAGGGAGAATGCAGACGGAAAGGAAGAGGGAGGAATCTATAAAAATCTGCGTTGCGTCACTACTCCGTGGGTTTGCACTGCGCGGCGTCTAGACGATAACCCCCGCGCGCACCGATATATCATCTGGCTTCGGGGCCCCCGTGCGGGATGCGATTGCCACGCGTGCTCCGACGACTCTCTCGGGGTCGCGCCCGTCGTAGTTGAGAACCTCGATGATCTGGTTGTCATTGAGGTTGTCACCGATGCCATCGGATGATACGATGACATAGTCGTCAAGCATGACGTGCACCTTGCCGGCCGCCCCCTGGGAGACGAGGTGGGAGACGATGGCCGGGTCGCGGCCCTGTTCGCGCATGATGTAGATCTGTTTCGGCCCCATGACGTTGTTGCCACTGGAATCGGTCATCGGCTGGTGCTGCTCGTCCGTGTTGAATATCTTTGTGTACGTCCCTAAGACCGAGTTGGGGCGGAACACCTGTACCGCGCAGTCCCCGACGTTGAAGTAGGTTAGCTGGCGCCCGATCACCGTGGCGACCGCGGCGCACGTGGACCCCAACGCGGTGGCTTGGCCTATCGACATCTGGACGAGGCGGCGCAGCCACGCACCCTTGGAGGAAGTGTCGACCGTTTCTGCGCCGTACCCGACAGCCGCAGCGACCTGACGTTCGTACTCCGTGCGGTCCGTGGTAGCCTTGGTCTTTTCATGCATCGTATTGTTATGTTATTTGTTTTTGTTTTGTGTATTTGGTTTTTTGTGCATGGCCTTGAAGCGAAGGCGCAAGTTGTGGCGGACGCAGTCCCGCAGGTCCTGCGACAGCGCCTCGGGGCGCAGGGGCGGCGGCACGCCGCCCACGCCGTCGAACACGGCGGCCCAGTGTGCGTCGCGCGCGGTCATGTCCGCGTTTGCGGACCCGCCGAGTGCCTTCAAGGGGTGCTGGGTCTTCGCGGCGAAGCCCCAGAGGGAGAACATCGAGGCGGGCATCGGGCGATGCCTGGTGGTGCGGGGCGTGGCTCGCGCTGCGCTCGGCTTGGCGGAGAACTCTGCGATTGCGGCGAAATAAACAAGAGAACGAGGTGGGCAAAAAAGGGGAGAGGAGGAAGATAAGGAGAGGGATGATGAAAACGAGATGGGTGTTTTTCCCTGCGGGGTAATACGAACAGCGTTTACTAACTGTTCGCCCGTCCCTCCTCCTCCTCCTCCTCCTCCTCCTCCTGCCCCTACCTCGAATGGGCATGTGCAGCCCGACGCAGTGGGCATTGCACCCGAAAGAGTTGGGCATTGCACCCGAAGGGTTGGGCATTGCACCCGAAAAGGTTGGGCATTGCACCCGAAAAGGTTGGGCATTGCACCCGAAGGGTCGGGCATTGCACCCGAAAGAGTTGGGCATTGCACCCGAAGGGTTGGGCATTGCACCCGAAAAGGTTGGGCATTGCACCCGAAGGGTTGGGCATTGCACCCGAAGGGTCGGGCATTGCACCCGAAAGAGTTGGGCATTGCACCCGAAGGGTTGGGCATTGCACCCGAAGGGTCGGGCATTGCACCCGAAAAGGTTGGGCATTGCACCCGACGCAGTGGGCATTGCGCCCAGAAAGGAGTTGGGCATAGCAGCAGCATAGCAGCAGCATACCAGCAGCATAGCAGCAGCATAGCAGCATCATAGCAGCAGCATAGCAGCAGCATAGCAGCAGCATAGCAGCAGCATGCCATCATCATACCAGCAGCATAGCAGCAGCATAGCAGCAGCATAGCATCAGCATCGCAGCAGCATAGCAGCAGCATAGCAGCAGCATAACCACAGGGACGGGAAGGATACACCTCTGCTCTGTATCCTTTGGAAAGCACCACAAAAGGATTATATTGGAAAGCCTCACAACAAAAACCCTTTGGAAACTGCTACGAAGGGTTCCTATTGGAAAGCATCACAAAGGGAATCCTTTGGAAATCTCCACAAAGAAACACCCAAAAGGAAGCTCCCGCCTGAGAGGCCCAAAAAAACACTCAAAACGAGGCTCCCGCCTGAGAGGTCCCAAAAAAACCCAAAGAAATCCAAGAGCCACCCCTCTCATCCCTGTAACTGCACCCAAAAAAAAAAGCTTCAGAGGAGAACTCCTCCTCCCCCCGCTTCCTCCTCTTCTTACCCGTCAAATAACACACTCAAAACGAGGCTCCCGCCTGAGAGGTCCCCAAAAAACACCCACAAAACGAAGCTCCCGCCTGAGAGGTCCCAAAAAAAACACTCAAAACGAGGCTCCCGCCTGAGAGGCCCCAAAAAACCCCAAAGAAATCCAAGAGCCACCCCTCTCATCCCTGTAACTGTCCAAAAAAAATCAGACGAGAGCTCTTCCTCCCACCCGAAGGGGGCGGGTAAGAAGAGGAGGAAGCGGGGGGAGGAGGGCAGCCTCTCAGGCGGGAGCTTCGTTTTGTGTGTGTTTTTTTGGGACCTCTCAGGCGGGAGCCTCGTTTTGAGTGTGTTATTTGACGGGTAAGAAGAGGAGGAAGCGGGGTGGAGGAGGAGTTCTCCTCTGGAACTTGGGGTTGTTTTGGTTTTTTGGTACAGTTACAGGGGTGAGAGGGGTGGCTCTTGGATTTCTTTGGGTTTTTTTGGGGCCTCTCAGGCGGGAGCCTCGTTCTGAGTGTTTTTTTTTCTGGGACCTCTCAGGTGGGAGCCTCCTTTTGTTTGTTTTTTTTGGACCTCTCACGCGGGAGCTCTCCCACAGAGGATTTGTGTGGGACCTCTCACGCGGGAACCTCCTCCTCCTCCTCCTCCCTCCGCCTTCCTCCTCTGATAGAATTCTCCTCACCCTCCATCCTTTGGGGAAGAGGAGTGGGGCAACGAGAGCGGTTCCTCTTAGCCGTTGGGTTTGGTGGGGGTCCCCTCGAGGGGGGGGGGGCCTACTACTACTACTACTACTACTACTACTACTACTACTACTACTACTACTACTACTACTACTACTACTACTACTACTACTACTACTACTACTACTACTACTACTACTACTACTACTACTACGACGACGACGACGACGGACGACGACGACGACGACTACCACTACTACTACTACTACTACTACTACTACTACTACTACTACTACTACTACTACTACTACTACTACTACTACTACTACTACTACTACTACTACTACTACTACTACTACTACTACTACTACTACTACTACTACTACTACTGATACTACTACTGCTGCTGCTGCAACTACTACTACTACTACTACTACTACTACTACTGCTACTACCACTACTACTACGACTACCACCAGCACTACGACTACAACGACGACGACGACTACTACTACTGATACTGCTACTGCTACTACTACTACTACTACTAAAACTACCACTGTTACTACTTCTGATACTACTACTAGTTGTAATAGTAGTAGTACTACTACTACGACTGCTACTACTACTACTATTACTGCTACTACTTACGACTACTACTGCTGTGACTACTACTGCTACGACTGCTACTACTACTTCTACTACTACTGCTACTACTACTACTACTGCTGCTACTACTACTACTACTACTACTACTACTACGAATACTCCTACAACTGCTACTACTACTACTACTACTACTACTACTACTACTACTACTACTACTACTACTGCTAATACAGCGACTACTACTACTACTACTACTACTGCTACTACTTCTAGTTCTGCTACGACTGCTACTACTTTTGCTGCTGCTACTACTACAACGACAACAAGTTCTACTACTACTACTACTACTACTACTACTACTACTACTACTACTACTACTACTACTGCTACTACTGCTACCACCACTACTGCTATTACTACAACGACAGCAATTTCTACTACTACTACTACTACTACTACTACTACTACTACTACTACCCCTACGACTACGTCTACCACTACCACTACCACTACCACTACCACTACCACGACCACTACCGCTACCACTACCACTACCAGTACTACTGCCACTACTACTACCAGTACCACCACCGCACCCGTCACAAGGATCTGGTGTCGCATCGCGTCGCGGGCTGTGGGGCGGAGCAATGGGGTCGCAGTCCGGGTTTCTGTCAACGATGGCGACGGCGGCAAGCAGCGAACGGCGGCGAGCGGCGAGGGAGGTTTCGGGTCATAGTTCGGCGAGCCGCGGATGCTGGAAGGTACCCCTAGGGCGAGAGAGCCTCCAAGAACCGACGAAGATGGCCAAACACATAAGAGTAGGAGGAGGAGGACGACGACGACGACAAAGATGAGAACGAGAACGAGGACACGGGCGACGACGAAAGCATCGGATAACCACAACAACACCTTCGAACAACTTAGATAAGCTGCGAAAACCGCCGACGACGACGACGACCAGCGAGCGGCGGCGGCGGCGGGCGCGGTCGCCGAGAGCCCTCCCCGGGGGGGCCAATTCTTCGGCTTCTGCGGGGCGTTGTGCGCGGCCATGAGCCCCGGGTCGGCGCGCAGGGCCTGCGCTCCCGGAAAGGGGGGGGAGGGGCGGGAGGAACGAAGGGAAAGAGGGTGAAAGGGGACGGGAAGGGACATGGGGAGGGGGAGGGGCAGGGATGTGGGGAGGGGTGGGGAGGGGGGGGGGGAGTGGGAAGGGAGGAGATTGAGGGGGGAAGGGTGGGGATAGGGAGGGGGATGGGGGATGGGGGGGGGATCGGGGAGAACAATATGGGGAGGAGGGGAAGGGGGAGGGGAGGGGGAAGGCGTATCATCCTCGTCGTTTTTGGGGTTGCTCGGACAGCAAGAGGTGCACAATTGTTGCGTTTTTCTTAAGGGAACACTCAGACAACATGCGGTAAAATCTCACCAGTCCTCTGGGCGCGAATGCTTTAGAACGTTTCCTCTTTTCAACCCTCTTTCCCCTTCGGGGACGAGTTTTCCCCTCCCCTTGCCCCCTGCCCCTGGACATGGAGGAACTGAGAGCGTCCAAAAGAATCTCGGCGAGAAGAACCAACATCGTTGACTTTACGACGGTTTGGGCCACATGTTGGCTTCCTTGGGGGCAACGCACATCTACTACGGCCCCCTTCCTTTGATCGATCTCCCCAACATTGGGCCCCGAGGCTCCCCAGGGTGCCCCAAAACGGTCCCAACAGGTACCCACGAGGCCCCAAAAAGCGCCCTCAATAGGCTTCTAATGTGCCCAAGGTCCAATACAATACTTTTGAGCTTGTGATCGCTGGGTGCAAGCTCGTATGGCGGTCACACATGGGCGATCGGCAGTTCGGCAGATACAAAAAATGTGTAAGGATGAATGGTTCCCTTGTTTGATGCGTTGCTGTGTGCCTGTTTCCTGTTGGTTGCTGTTGGATCCTGCTGGGTCGCGCTAAATCATGTTAAATCTTGTTACCCAGAGATATAAGGAGCCCCGATATACTCCAATTCGGCACCCGAACGCCCCGAACCTTTACAAGCCGAATCTTCCCATGGAGCAACAAAAAACACTGCCTGTGATGGCAGATGCGATGCCCACTTAGGACTTCCTGGATATAAATGCATATATATATATATATATATATATATATATTCAACAAAAAAACTGGCAAGCCCCAGCCTGCCGTGTTGGATCGACGTGTGGTTCCCTGCGAAACGCAAACATCAGTTCGAATAGTTATTCGCAGCGGAAACAAAGCGGATTCGGACGCGGTCCGAAGAGCCAATTTAAGCGTGTTTGGGGCCGTCGCGGTTTTCAATGATTTCTCAATCGATGTGAAGCAGTTAGTTGACGCACTGCTAGCATGTATATGTTGGCCGATTGTTCCAACTGTTTTTTCCGAAACAGCTTCGGAGACGCATTCTTGAAATTGCGCACAGTCTAAACATATTGAAATGCGCATGGGTTGGTAAACGCCCATTCACGGCTGCAACGATGAGCAAATGAACGATGCCCACAGAGAAAACGCTGCACAAAAAACAACAACACATGAAACACACACACACACACACACGCGTGGAAATGCTGTATCAAAAACGGATTCCCCTCCTTTCCAACAGCAAAAAAACTCAAATAGGACCCTCTGGAGCTTCATTCTGGCTCCCAAAATCAAACCATTTTAGGCCCAGACGCACGCGGCGCAATCCGAACATCCCGAAACCCTAACATAACAATCAAAGCGAGCTTCAGCTGGATCGCTCTTTTCAAGAAAATCTGGAATTTCTGGAACTTTGGGATCCCCAAGAATTCCCAAAATTGTTGGTATGCCGCAGTTTTCTCGTATCTCCCAGAACTCCTGGAATTTGTAAAATTTCTGTAATGACGCGGGTTTCCGGGGCCTCCGGGAATTTGTGGAATGCGTCGAATTCCGACGATGCCGTAAGTGTCCGGGGCCTCTGGGCATTTCTTCAATGTTTGGTACATCGCGAACTTCTGGCATATCCAGAAGTCAGTAAATTACAAATATTTCACGAAAAAAAACCCTAGTATTCCCAAGAGGACCATGGTCGTGGACCGCGGGAGGGCCTGGCTGCCCTCGCCCTCCCCGCCGCCCCCCGAGGCGGGAGCGCTCGCGGGCCCGAGGGGGCCGCGGCGTGGGCCAGCCGCGGCGCGCTCCCCCGTGCCCCCTATCGCGTCGCGAACGAAAATCGCGACGGGCGGGGCTTTGCCGCTTTCGGCCCCTCGGATGCCCCCGGCGAGCCCGGGAACCATCATGACGCGATTCGGGGCGAGGAGCCAATCCTGCAGGAGGCCCCCAGCCCCGAAAAAAGAAACCCCGGGAGGCCGCGGCGCGGATGGCATCGTCGTCGCCGTCGCCGTCGCCGTCGTCGCCGTCGCCGTCGTCGTCGCCGTCGCCGTCGCGGGGGGCGCCTCGCCCCCTGCCCCCAAAGCGACATCGCTCAGGGGGCAGACGGGCCGCGTGAACTGGCCGCCGCCCGCCCCCTCAGGCCTCGTCGATTCTCGTCGACCTTCGATCGCCGGAGGTTTCTCATCGGCACTGGCTGCGGCCTCGGGATGGGGGTTCGGGCCCTGTGGCCATCAGAAACTGATCCGAGTTGAAGAAGAAATTTACCCACGGGGGAACCCCTTCCTCCTCCGCCGACACCTCCGGGGTTCGCGGATCGACTCTCAGTTTCGAGGATCGCGGTTTTCGGGCGCCGCCCTGCCTTTGGGCCTCTGGGGCGGCCCCGCCGCCGCAGAGCGCGAAATCGTGGCGGCGGGGGCCTGGGCGTCGATTTTCGAGCCCCGCGCCCGAACCTGGCCGGCGACTCGAAACGGCGCTGTCGTTTTTTCTTCGGCGCCCTTGGGCCGCGCCCGCGCCGTCGAGAGACGGCTCGGGGTGTAAACTTGCCCTCGGGCCTGCGACTCGAACGAAACCGATAATCGCCGGGGGTCCGCGCCCTTGCCGCTCGCGGGATGGGAGGCGAGCGGGGGGCCCGTTCCGGGCCCCCCGAGAAACCCACGCGGCCGCGGCTGGGCGCAGCTCGAATCATTTGTCGGGGCGGCGTCTGGGAGGGGCCCGGGGGGGCGCGCGGGCCCCGGCGAACCCCCGCGCTTCTCTCGGGGCGCACTGCATTGGCGAGACATTCCAATAAGGAGGGAGACAGGGCCGCGGCGAGAAGCCCCTCCGCGTCGCCCCCCCCCCCCCCCCCCCCCACCACCCACCACCACCACGCGCCCCGCGCGCGCCCGCCCCCTGCGCCGGCGGCGCCCGAGAGCGCGCGCAGAAGGAATCGCCGAGCATATAGAACACGTTCACGCAACTTTGGCACCATTCAACGCACTATTCACGAGCCAATGAGCATCGCAACCGACGTGCAAACGTTGTCTCTGGAGCGCCAAAAGCGCGGCTGATGCGCGCGCCCGCGCGCGGGCCGAGTTCCAGCGCGCAGCGAGCGGTGCGGCGCGCGCTGGAGACGGCGCCCTTTCACCGATGGCGCGTCTGCGTCGGAGCGCAGTTGGGCCCCGCTGACATCCCGGGCGGGGGCGGCGCAGCATCGAACAGCTCCGGGCGAACGTGCCCCAGTAGCTCGCCGCTCGCGCGCGCCTTGAAATCTCGGCGGTCGCTTAAGGCGCGCGGATAGCTCAGGATGGCCCGACGCAGTTTTCGCCGTGCCCAAAAGACTCCCAGGCCGCCCCAAGACGGCCCCAAATGGTCTCGGAACACTCCGAAGAGTCGCCACTCCGCTTCCGATGGCCCCCCGAAGCCCGGGGGCGCATCCAAAATTGCCCGGGCGGGCCCCGAGAGGGCCCGGGGGAAGCCCCGGGGGGCCTGGGAGGGCAACGGAGAGGGCCGCCCCTCTTCCTCTGCTCGAACTCTTCCAAGATGGCTCCGATGCCCCCGAGAATCCCAAGAGGCCCCCGGGCTGTCTCCAGGAGGCCCCCGCAAGGCCCCGAGAGGCGCAGAGAACTCCCCTGGGCATCGCCCCTAGACGGGCTGGCGGGAACGCGCCGGGCGTCGATGACCCCCGCGCTGCGCGCCAGCAGGCGCGGCTGTGCTAAGCAGACGCAAAAACGATGCGTCCTGCTCATGGCCGACGCCCAGCCGCCCGCGCAACCAACCTCGACGCGCTACGATGGCGTGCATTCTTGCCTTTCGGCCAGGGCCTTCGCCGCATCCGCTCGCAATCGCGCGAAAAATATGGGCGGCGCGGCCGCCTCGCGCAAGCGTTTCGCGCGTCGCGCCTTGCGGGCTAACAAGACCACCGCAACTTCCAGAAATAGCAGTTCGTGCTCATGCGAAGCTGCCCTGGGGGTCCTTAATTTTTCGCTGCTAACCTCGTCTCATATCGCGCGCGGGGAACATCTTGCCTTCCCCTGCGTCTAATAACATATTCTAGTGTTCCATGGGCATGCCGGCGTTCGCAATGGTGATATCTCTATCTCGCGCAAATCTGCGGCGCGCGGCCGACGCCTTGCGACGCGACGTCGCGCCCCCTCCAAAGCGCGCGCCGCGGATTGATCCAATGCGGGGACGCGAACAGAATCTTCGCATCCAGATATACAGAAGTATGCGCAAGACTGCTTGTTTGAGCCCTTGCCCCGCGCCATTTCCTTGCGCTCTCAGCGCGATGTAGGAGTCGGCGCCCCGATAATCCCAGCGCGCGTCGCTCTTACTCTTCCCAATTTGCAAAGTGCCACACTTCGCGGGCAATGCAAAATTAGAGGGCTCAGTTTTTCGCGTGGATGCGCCATCGCAATCGCTGCCGTTGCCATCATCACTGCACTGGTCTGCCCCATCGGGGGCAGTCCTTCTCGCCCCTCTCTTCCCTGCGCGCCGCGCTGCGCCGACCGAACATGTGAGCGGCCTCCTCGCTGGGCTGCTGCATGGCGTGCTCGAAGACGCAGCGGGCGATCCGACCTTGAACTTCCAGGGCCTCAGGGAATGGGTGATGCCTGAGGATGGTCGAAAATTTTACCCGTCAGCGCCGCAGCCCTGCCGCGCCGGTCGCAGGCCGGATATCTGGGGGGGCAGAGGAAGACGACGAGAAGGATCTCGTTTTTGGAAGACGGCCCCAGAAGCCCC